AACTGTAAAAGGAAACGCCTTCATAATGGAGACATCTGGAGTAATCATCTAACTTGGTGATCAAAGTTAGTAGCAGGGATGGGATATCACCTGTCTTCGGCTATGATGCACCATGAACCACACAGCCTTATCAATTTCTTTCCAAAAATCTTTAACCAAATTACATCAAGCCTTTAGAATTCAGGTCTAGTTTGGAGGAATGACAGGAGCTTTAGGAGCAAGTTAAATGAGGAAACAGACAAAAATCTAGAATGGGGAATTTGTGCAGACCTGGAGTCGAGGCCATGTTAAAAATAAAAATGGTAGGAGTAGTGTTCCAGATTTTTAAAATAGTAGAGACCTAACAACCAAATATAATGCTTGAAACTTGATTGGATTCTGATTTTATTTTTTAAGAGATTTTATTTATTTATTTGACAGAGAGAGACAGCGAGAGAGAGAACACAAGCAGGGGGAGTGGGAGAGGGAGAAGCAGGCTTCCCACTGAGCAGGGAGCCCGATGCGGAGCTCAATCCCAGAACCCTGGGATTATGACCTGAGCCAAAGGCAGACACTTAACCGACTGAGCCACCCAGGTGCCCTGGATTTTGATTTAAAAAAAAAAAAAACTTTAAAATTCATTTTTGGGGGACAATTGAATATGGACCAGATATTAGCTGGCATTAGGGAATGAATTTTAATTTCTTAGGTGTGATAATGGTGTGGTGGGGAGGCAGAAAGTCTTTGTTTTTAGCAAATATTTAGAAAATAGATAAACAAATACAGAAAAATGTCAACATTATTGAATTTAAGTGGTAGATACAAAGGTGATCATTGTACTAGTCCCTTAACTTCAGCATTTTAAAAACAGTTCATAGTAAATTAAGAAAAACTGATTCCATAAATCTGTATTTTTTGACCTGGAAGGATATCAAGGACAAACTATTGAATTTAAAACATAGGTTAGAAAACATAATATTCACTCATTTTTGTAAAACGTGTCTAGTACACATAATGAAAAATCAATATGATATTTGCACAGCATGTTCATAGCAGCGTTATTCAAAATAGCCAAAAGGTGGAAACAACCCAGGGTCTATACACAGATGAACGGATAAGCAAAATGTGGTCTATACAATCAGTGGAATATTAGCCTTACAAAGGAAGGGAATTCTGACATATGCTACAACGTGGATGAACTTTGAGGACATGATGCTGAGTGAAATAAGCCAGTCACAGAAGGACAACTACTGTATGATTCCACTTATATGAGGCACCTAGAGAGTCAAGTTCACAGGGACAGAAAGTAGAAAGGTGGTTGCCAGGAGCTGGGGAGGGTGAAATGGGGAGTTGCTTAATGGGCACAGAGTTTCAATTTTGCAAAATGAAAAGAATGCTAGAGATTGGTTGCACAATACAAATTTACTTAGCACTATTGAACTACACATTTAAACGTGGTTAAGATGGTAAATTTTACGTTATGTGTATTTTGCCACAATTTAAAGAAAATTAAATAAAAATATCGGTATATGCTTAGACACAGAGGCTCAGAGTTGTTACCTCCGTAAGTGCGAGTTTCTGGGCAATTTTTACTTCATTTTCCATTTCTGTACTGTTGGGATTTTTTTTTTTTTTACTTTGAACATGAATCAGTTTTACAAAAACCGGAAGATATAAAACTTCTACAGGTTTTCAGTATTTGGGAAAATATGGGGATGGGAGAGACTAATTTTTAGGACAGTGGATTTTCAGGGAACAACAGAAATGGTCAGTGCAGCCTGAGAATTTTGTCAAAAGCAACAGGAATCCTTGGTCCCGCGAGGAGAGAGGCAAAATGGGGGCACTGGACACCTCTTGTGCACGGAGGCTGGTGTGGCTAGCTCAGCCTGCTGACCCCTTGGCCGGGCCTGGCTGGCCTGACCTTGCTCACAGCTGAGGCCTGGCAGGGCCCTCCCGGGAACTGTGCTTTGCTTGGGGTCTGGCCAGCGAGGAGGAGTTTGCCGGCTGTTGTTGACCTGCCCGCCTTGTTCTCCAGGCCCTTTCCAGCACCTCACCTTGCTTGCACCCTGAGGGTGTGATTTGTGAGTCCTGTCCTCCCAGCTTCCTCCACTTGGGAGCCAGGCTTTGATCTTGCTTCCCGGGATCGAGTTTCGGTTGAAGACCGTCAGTCCAGTCCTTCGGGTCTACCGGTTATTACCCGCACAGCATCCCAGGCAGATGATTCATTTCAACCCTGGCTGATCTCTGCGTTTTGACCTAATGGCTCTATCAGGCTCCAGAGCCTGTATCCTCTTTGTGCTGGAGAAGCTTACCTCTGAACTAGGAATTATGTTCACCTCAGTACCCAAGCCGCAACAGCATTATCAAAAGCTTCTGTTCCAAAACTCAGTATGGAGCGGTGCTAGCCTTTGATATCCATATGGGATTTTGAAAAACAACCAAACAAACAGTTATACGGTTGTATTTGGTTTCCCATTAAATGAATATTTTCTGTTTTACTTAAGGCACTGTCAACATAACCTCAATATCAGATGATGGCCTCTTGTGAAAAAATTAAATATTTTGAAAACAGCAAAGTACTGAGAACACTGTAACAAACACCTGTGTTCAGACCACCCAGAATGGATAAATGTTAATAGTTTGTGATGATTCTTTCAAGTCTAGCATTCTTCTTGGGAAATTAAATTTTCCCTCTGTGCATGGGCAGGGCTGGCCCCGGGACAGCAGTGATGTTTGCGGCCTTCCTCTCCTGCCGCCCCCTCCCCTCCCCAGTTGGGGGCTGACCAGGCGGCCGTGGCCCTGGCATCCCTGCAGGGCCACGTGATGTCTCTCCCAGGACAGCTGTGCTGGTGGCTGTCCTCTGGGGCTCAGAGTGGAACAGCAGGAGTCCTCCACTATATTAGAAATGAGCCCTGCTTCTGAGTCACACAAAAGTTTATTACAACAAAGGAAACAAACATCATAACTGTGCAGGGGGATCTCCAGACACTGAGCCTCAGAGAAGAAATGCGTCCAGCAAATGCACTGCCATTGGGAGTCCCAGCTTGCCAATGCTCCCGGCTTCCTTCTTTACTCCTGCTCAGTTCACATGTTGGAAACAGCCTCCCACGGCCTCTGAGTATACAGGGGACATGTCCAGCCACATAGACAGACTGCCTCGCAGTCCTGAGGTGGCAATCCCCCAGGTTCGTGGAAGGGCATCTGATCGTCTCGCCCTGGGTCACATGTCCTTCTCTGGTCCAGTAAGCTCTGCTGATGGTGGCCAGCTCCTGGACGGCCAGCCTGGCCATCCTGCTTCTGTGACCTGCGGATTCAGGGGCTAAGGGCTGTCCTCAGGAAGGAGCACCCCCTGCCTCTGCTGCCCATGGTGCGTAGCTTCCAGGGGACAGTCGCTGCCGTGTGAGAAGCACACCACTGGGGTTTCTGCAGGTGTGACGAATGACTGTCTAAGCTAGACAACCTGGGCTTGGGAAGGCACGAGAGGATGGTGCTGATGGTGAGGAGAATAAAGAAGAGAACCCCCCGAGGGCACATGGTGCAGGTGTTTTGTGGGTCCTGCCGCCCCTGAAAAGCCTGTGGAACAGGATTTGTGTACAGAGTCCCATATTTATGAATGGATAGTCCTCTAACACTAAGAGTAATGTGTCTGTACTCCATACATGAATGTTTAGACTGATGTGCCAGGGACTTCACAGGGCCCGAGACAACCCCAGCTCCTGCAAAGGGCTCACAGTACAGTGGGAACCCTGCATGCGTATTTTTATAAGAGGTTAGCTCCACTTTCATGTGAGCAATATCGCAGCAAATGAACACTTCCTTTTCTGTTCGCAATCACTCCCACTTCTAAAAGGCACTGACCCTCGTAAGCTATTTCAAGTGTTTGCTGGAATGAAGCAAAACGGATATATCTGAATATATAAAATGAGGTCATGTTTACATTTCCATACTGGCTCATAGAAAAAGGAAGCGTAACCCTAATAGTGGTACTATTTTGACCATGTAGACAGTGATCGTTTATAATAGTTTTTCTGAAGAAAATACTTTTTAAGTTCGGACTTGGGATGGCGAACATTTGCCCTGGAGGCAGATGGAGGCTGTGGGGTGGAATGACTCTCACATTGTTTGCTCAGGAAAAGCGCCCCCTCTCAGCTCTTTCGCCCTCAAGGGTTGTGAATTTCACTGGGTGTGGTCAGAGCCACGTCCTCACTCTGCTGGACCAGCAGCCGTGGCCTGAGTTTTGGATTGACAAACACAGGGAAGCCCAACCTGTTGGCTTCCCCCAACACCAAGATTGCTTAGCTTTAAGATCCACACAGGACTGGGGACAACGCGGCGTGCAGGGCGATGGTGGGGGTGTCTGCAGACTCCCCGCCCAGCCTGGGAGTCCGTCTGGCTCGCTCCACACATAGGCTGTACGCGTGGGCCGGAGAGGTGAGGACAAACTGTGGGAAACTAGTCGTTCTGGGGTCCCCTCAACTTTTGTCTGCGTCTCAGCCTCCTCCCGGTATTGGGGGGGGGGCCTCATTCTCACGCAGCTGTGCCTTACTGAAGCCCATTACTTGTGACTGAGAGCCGAGACAATGGGGCACAGGTGTGTGGTCTGACCTCCGCGGCTTCTGGATATGCTACATTCAGTGTACCCCAGTAAGTCCTGGTTTAGTGCTGCAGGGAGAACTCAGCCAAACCAAGGGTCAAATCCTCCTAGGTCCTTGTGGCTAAAAAGTCACAAACCAGGGCCCTGTCTTCCTCCTGTTTGTAGCCTAAGCACAGGATCCGGCATATAATAGGTACTCAATGATTCAATATCAATTTTGAACTCTGAATTTTAATGATTTCGTATTTAGGTTGTCAATGTGTCGAGTGCTCATAAATAAGTAAGTGATTGCCTCGTAAGCAAAACTATTTTTGTCTACTTGTTCTAAGAGTAATTTGTATCGAAGGCCTTTGGACCATATGCTGATAAGAGGCATGATGACTGTAACATGAAGTCCTGATCCATTTTCTTTCTATCTGTCTTTCAGATTATTTGAATATATTTTGCTGTATAAGGATGGAGTGATGTTTCAGATTGAACAAGCCACGAAGCAGTGCTCCAAGATCACCCTGACGGAGCCCTGGGACCCTCTAGACATCCCTCAAAACGCCACGTTTGAGGACCAGTACTCCATAGGGGGGCCCCAGGAGCAGATCACTGTCCAAGAGTGGTCTGACAGAAAGTCAGCTAGATCGTGTAAGGCTTCAGAAAATAGCCAAGTGCTGCATCTCAGGAAGCGTGATGGGGAAAAAGTTTAAGTCCATTAAGGAAGGGTAGTTAGGACAATTTATAAGCTTAAGCAAATTGTTTAATGTCCCCCGCACCTGCTTTGAAGTCCCTCTCCCCGCCCCCCCCCACCCGCTGGTTGTTTAGTTCCAGAATCTCAGCATCATATTTGAAACACCTCAGCCTTCTAGCACCCCCTGTACCTTTCTGCCATTGGCTGTTATGGGCTTGTCCTTGGCTCTGACATTGAATAGTCTTGAGATCTGTGACATGGAAGACATCTGTCTGTGGTCTACTTTAGAATCCTCGTATCACTTCCTAAAGTCACAGAGACCAGATCTACTCCCGTTATACCCGGTGTCTGCTTTTGCATATAGATGTGAAGCTCTTCTCTGCAATCCTTCATACGCCTACCCCAAAACGGTTTCCAAAACACAGGCTTTATGGTGTATGTGGGAAATAGTAAAAAACAGTGTAAAAACAATCCTCCCTCCCCAAGTTTAGCATAGAATTATCATATGACCTAGCGATTCCACTTCTGGGTGTATACTCAAAAGAATTGGAAGCAAGGACTCAAAAAGATATGTGTGCACCCATGTCCATAGCAGCATTAATCATAAGAGCCAGATGGCAGAAACAACCCAAGTGTCCATCAGCAGATAAATGAATACCCCAAATGTGGTGTAAACAAACAATGGAATATTATTCAGCCACGGATAATATTGGCTGAACCTTGAGGACATGATGCTGAATGAAATAAGCCAGTCACTAAAGGACAAATACTATATAATTCCACTTGTCTGAGGTCCCTAGAGTAGTCCCGGTCATGGAGACAGAAAGTGGATGGGGGTGGCCAGGGGCTGGGGGAGGGGGGATGGGGAGTCAGTGTTAGAGGGCATGGAGTTTCCACTGGGGAAGATGACAAAGTTCCGGAGAGGGATGGTGGCGATGGTTTCATGTGAACGCATTAATGCCACTGAACTGTCCTTAAAAATAGTTAAAAGGGTGAATTTTATGTATATTTTAACACAAGAGAAAAAAAATACAGGCTACCTTCTATGTTAAAAAGTCAACTTCCCTTCCTCTGACAGATGAAACCTGGATCGGCATTTATACTGTCAAGGATTGTTATCCTGTCCAGGAAACCTTCACCAAAAATTACAGTGTGATATTGTCCACACGGTTTTTTGACATACAGCTGGGCATTAAAGACCCCTCGGTGTTCATCCCGCCGAGTACCTGCCAGGCGGCCCAGCCGGAGAGGATGAGCGAGGACTGCTCCTGGTAAGCCTGTGAGTGCCGAAGCCGGGCATCGGATGTCATCCCCACCTCAAAAGGGATTCGAGGCTTTTCAGAGGCAAGAACCTTCCTGGAGAGAAATGTCCAAACTGTAGGAAGATAAACACCGATCTGGGGTTCTTTGTATATATGAGTTTTGACTCCTCAAGCTATGTTTACAAAAGGGCAGAGCATTTGTTCAGCCTGTGTCTTCCACGCGTGCAGGTGGATCTGGGTGCAGGGGCAGATGTGGGCGAGGGGTGGCAGGAGCGGCTTGCCTTGGCAGGGAGGAGGGTTTCGTTACTGACGTGACTGAGAATTGCTGGGTTGCTGCCACGTGGTGATAATAACATGCAGAACGGTTTTCGTCCGTTTTATGATAAAGTTTTATGTTCTCTACAGATGATGGCCCCAATATTGCCTGCACCAGGGGGGCGAAGGCTCCCTTGGCCACTGACAGATTCCTTAAAATCCCTTCCAGACTTAAGAGCTTTATGGCATGACCGGGTTGATGGAAATTTGGGGAGGAAATGAAAGGCTCCAATACAAAGTAATTATTCCTCAAAGAGACATTTTAAACAAGAGGGTTTGGACAACTTAATGTCTCTACCTGGGTAAGCATAAGCCGTGTATGTGTCCTTTTCTCTATGCAAGACTATTGCTATATGTGCTGAATCATCACATATTTGTCAGGAGACCTAGAAAGACAGATAGTATTCTAAAAATAGCATTGCACTGGGAGTCAGGAGACTATTGTCTTCAGTATCCAGGACTAGAATTCCTCTGTACTTGAACGCCTTTGATGAACTAAATGCACTATGCTTTCCCTCACCCAAGCCTTCCTGGGGCAGTTTCGCAACCTCTTTGTCTATGTGACTTCTGCTCATCTTTCCCAGGTCAGCTCACACTTGAGCTGACCCCAGAGAGCTGCTCCCAGGCCCGGCTTGGGTGCACTCTGTAGCTTGAGCATGCAGTTCTCACCACACTTATTAGGCTCTGTGCTAATTTCCTGCTTACTGGACACTGTCGCCCACGAGCCTGGCTATGAGCAACTTGAGTATGGGTACCATGCTCTGTTTACTTCTATATGCCCAGCGCCAAGTAAGTGCCTGGCACATGCTCAGTGCCCTAAACATTTGTAGGGGGGAGAATGCCAGTCTCTCCGGTCATCAGTTGCCTCATGTGTTCAAGGGTTGGGTTTGCTGACCTCTAGGGAGACTCTTAGTAATAAAATTTATTATTCTAGATTCTTCTACTGTTATGTTTAATCTGGCTATTATCTATTACTAGGAGAAATGTATGACATCTCTATCATGCGGAAAACAATCTGTATGACTCACAGTTTATTTCAATAAACATGTTTAATTGCATTTCAAAGTGTTCTTTGATATATATACTTTTGCCATATAGATGGATTATTTTGGTTATTCCGGAGTTAAAACTCTCTGATGAATAAATTGCTTCTAAGCCATGTTCAATACCCTCTTTCAAAGGCTTGCTCTTCAGCTCAAAGCCCAGTTGCCTGGGTTGGAAGCCTCAGAGGCCTTCTTGGCTCAGTCTTCACAGGCCATCAGTGTCCCGAGTCTGGTCAGAGTAGCCCCTGTCCAACTCCTCAGGCGCCATTCAGGTCCAGGCTCTTAACACCACTGGCCTTTGCAAGATCTTCAGGGCCTCTGTCTTGTCCTGGCCTTTTCTCCTCGAAGCCATCCTCTGCTCAGTCAGTCCCAAGCTGGCGTGGAGCCCCTGTGGTCTCCAGGGCCCATGGCCGTTCGCGGAGTCTCAGAATAGAGGGAAGGCCAGGCAAGGCTGGCATCTGGAATGCACAGATGGTCACTTTCGCAGCTGCCTTCGAGGCGGTCCAGCCAGATAAAGCCTTTGTGACCGCATGTGCCCGTGTCCTATCTCTCCACCCATGGGATGGCCCCCCATCCTTTCTGAACCGCACAGGTCCCCTCAGCCCTGGATCTCTGTCTTTGACCACCGGAGGTCACATCTCCTCTTGCAGGAGAAGGAAAGGAACCCCCTTTACTTTATTCAGGGACATACGAGGTGGGTGACCTTTCAGTTCTCTGTTGGCCTATTTTAGCAGTTAAGCCATTTCGCAGATAGGAATAATAAGTCCCTCTCACAGAAGGATTTTACATCTGGTGGGACTTCACCTCTGTTGGCGCCCTGCTCCTGTGGGTCCCCATTGTGTCCAAGCAAAGGGGAGGCTCCTCAGCGCGATGCCCACAGCCCTTCTGATCAGGCCCCCCTCACTTTCCAGCGTCAGTGCTCATGCTGCTCTCCCTTGGCCAACCGCCACGAGAGCCTGAGAAGCGAGGCCTGGGTTACCCCTAGGTGGCAGGAGGCCTTCCTTGGTCACCAATCTTATGTCAAAGCCCTCCAGTGGACATCATAGTCAAAAAGAAGAGGGCTCGTGAACAGGCAGGGACTTGCTCCTGTGAATGAGGAGGAGTGCCCAATGTCTCCCTCATCTGCAGACACAGCATTCCTGACAATGAGCCCAACTAGGATGGGTACCACTTTGGGCCCACCCTGCCTCCTGTGTCTCTGACCTTCATGTCACCTTGGAGCCACTTCTACCTCTCCCAAGACAAACTGCCAGGACCCACGCAAGTGCTGAGGTGTTCTCTACCCTCCGCCTTCAACTCTGAGGGCCCAGTCAGAACCCTCCCTCCCACTCCCACTGTGGAGTCAAAGGAGCCCAGCCTTTCTGCCCCCAGGGTACTCTCTTATCAGGGTGACTCTCTTGCAGGAAGTTTTGCTATTTGAGATAATGCTGCACTTCCTAAAATTGGAACACATTTTAAAATTATTTAAATGTTTTAAGAAGGCCAAAGAGTTTAGATCTCTGAGGAGATTTCTCACAAAGTGCTCTGAATTGCCCACCAGGTGAAATTCCACACCGTTGGAAAGCTCATTACTCACCTCTTGCTGGATTTCCAAGTTCCACCCTGTCTGTGTTCCCTCTGTGACTTTAAATCACTTTGCCTGTGTATTCACCTGTAGCACAAAGGGTGTTTTTCAGTTTTCCCCAGTATGTAGACCTTGTCTTCCTCCATCTGTGGAAAGTACCTTAAATGTATGCATGGTGTCCTTGCTGTTCTCCCTGAGTTAAAATGACTTCAGCTGGAGGAGGCAAGGAGCTTCCTCAACCAAAGTCTTGTGAATAAAAGCCTTGTAAGTAAATGCCTCTTTAAAAGACAAACTTAGCTTTACATATGAATATTCTAGCATCAGTAATCTTTTCTACTAAGAAATATGCTAGGATAATAACAGCGAATATCATCTTCAATGGGGAAAAGCTGAGAGCTTTCCCTTAAGATCAGGAACACGTCAAGGGTGCCCACTCTCGCCACTATTGTTCAACATAGTACTAGAAGTCCTAGCAACAGCAATCAGACAACAAAAAGAAATAAAAGGTATTCAAATTGGCAAAGAAGAAGTCAAACTTTGTCTTTTCGCAGATGACATGATACTTTATGTGGAAAACCCAAAAGACTCCACCCCCAAATTACTAGAACTTACAGCAATTCAGTAATGTGGCAGGATACAAAATCAATGCACAGAAATCAGTTGCTTTCTTATACACTAACAACGCAACTGTAGAAAGAGAAATTAGAGAAACGATTCCATTTACAATAGCACCAAAAACCATAAGATACCTCGGAATAAACCTAACCAAAGAGGTAAAGGATCTATACTCTAGGAACTACAGAACACTCATGAAAGAAATTGAAGAAGACAGAAAAAGATGGAAAAACATTCTATGCTCGTGGATCAGAAGAATAAGCATTGTTAAAATGTCTATGCTACCCAGAGCAATCTATACCTTCAATGCCATCCCGATCAAAATTCCAATGACATTTTTCAAAGTACTGGAATAAACAATCCTAAAATTTGTATGGAATCAGAAAAGACCCCGAATCGCCAAGGAAATGTTGAAAAAGAAAAACAAAACTGGGGGCATCACATGGCCCGATTTCAAGCTATATTACAAAGCTGTGATCACCAAGAGAGCATGGTACTGGCACAAAAACAGACATATAGACCAATGGAACAGAATAGAGAGCCCAGATATGGACCCTCAACTCTACGGTCAAATAATCTTTGACAAAGCAGGAAGAAACATGCAATGGAAAAAAGACAGTCTCTTCAATAAATGGTGCCGGGAAAATTGGACAGCCCCATGCAGAAGAATGAAACTCGACCATTCTCTAACACCATACACAAAGAGAAACTCAAAAGGGATGATAGACCTCAATGTGAGACAGGAATCCATCAAAATCCTAGAGGAGAACATAGGCAGTAACCTCTTTGACATCGGCCACAGAGACTTCTTTCAAGATATATCTCCAAAAGCTAGTGAAACAAAAGCAAAAATGAACTTTTGGGACTTCATCAAGATAAAAAGCTTCTGCACAGCAAAGGAAACAGTCAACAAAACAAAGAGGCAACCCACAGAATGGGAGAAGATATTTGCAAATGACACTACAGATAAAGGGCTGGTATCCAAGATCTATAAACAACTTCTCAAACTCAACACCCAAAAAACAAATAATCAAGTCAAAAACTGGGCAGAAGATATGAAAAGACACTTCTCTGAAGAAGACATACAAATGGCTAACAGACACATGAAAAAATGTTCATCATCATTAGCCATCAGGGAAATTCAAATCAAAACCACATTGAGATACCACCTTACACCAGTTAGAATGGCAAAAATGGACAGGGAAAGAAACAACAAATGTTGGAGAGTTGTGGAGAAAGGGGAACCCTCTTACACTGTTGGTGGGAATGCAAGTTGATACAGCCACTTTGGAAAACAGTGTGGAAGTTCCTCAAAAATCGAGCTACCCTATGACCCAGCAATTACACTCCTGGGTATTTATCCCAAAGATGCAGATGTAGTGAAAAGAAGGGCCATATGCACCCCAATGTTCATAGCAGCAATGTCTGCAATAGCCAAACTGTGGAAAGAGCCGAGATGCCCTTCAACAGATGAATGGATAAAGAAGATGTCCATATATACAATGGAATATTACCTAGCCATTAGAAAGGATGAATACCCAACTTTTACATCAACATGGATGGGACTGGAGGAGATTATGCTAAGTGAAATAAGTCAAGCAGAGAACATCAGTTATCATATGGTTTCACTTATTTGTGGAACATAAGGAATAGCATGGAGGACATTAGGAGAAGGAAGGGAAAAATGGGCGGGGAATCAGAGGGAGAGATGAACCATGAGAGACTATGGACTCTGAGAAACAAACAGCGTTTTAGAGGGGAGGGGGGTGGGGGATGGGTTAGCCCGGTGATGGGTATTAAGGAGGGCACGTACTGCATGGAGCACTGGGTGTTATATGAAAACAATGGATCGTGGATCACCACATCAAAAACTAATGATGTATTGTATGGTGACTAACATAACATAATAAAATTAAGAAAAAATAACAACTGAAATAGATTTTTATTTATTTTAAAGCAGATTTATTAGCTCAGCTACATGTGAAGAAAAAATATTGGGCCTATAATTTCTTGTATATATATTTTTTTTTCAGGGAAAGTAATGCTTACTTTTACATCTCAATTTAAAAATTCGCATTGTTTCCATTAGAGCAAAACTTCATGCATCTTTGCAGTATCTATTTCATGCTTAAAGGTGGAAAACATAATATAGCTTCAGCAACCAAAGAGTGGGCTATACTTATTCTATAACTTAGGAATAATACGCAGAATTTAGGTAATCTGGGCATAGATATGGGTACCATGCTGCCGCTGCCTCTCTCTTATTCCCAATGGCATACTCTTATTTATTTATTTATTTATTTATTTATTTATTTATTTATTTATTTATTTAATTTTTATTTTTTTTTATTCTTATGTTAATCCCCATACATTACATCATTGGTTTTAGATGTAGTGTTCCATGATTCATTGTTTGTGTATAACACCCAGTGCTCCATGCAGAATATGCCCTCCTCCATACCCATCACCAGGCTAACCCATCCTCCCACCCCCCTCCCCTCTAGAACCCTCAGTTTGTTTTTCAGAGTCCATCGTCTCTCATGGTTTCTCTACCCTTCCGATTTCCCCCTTCATTCTTCCCTTCCTGCTACCTTCTTCTTCTTTTTTCTTAACATATATTGCATTATTTGTTTCAGAGGTACAGATCTGAGATTCAATAGTTTTGCACAATTCACAGTGCTTACCAGAGCACATACCCTCCCCAGTGTCTATCACCCAGTCACCCCATCCCTCCCACCCCACCCCCCACTCCAGCAACCCTCAGTTTGTTTCCTGCGATTAAGAATATCTCATATCAGTGAGGTCATATGATACATGTATTTCTCTGATAGACTTA